CCACAATCAATGAAAATAAGGCAAACATTGCTAATGGAATTAGCCCAAATTTCAGGTTCGTTAGTATTTAACCAGATCCATTCAAACGGTATCGTCAATCCAAGTTACAGAATGAGGCCTCAGATAGTGTTGTTTGGGGACTCAATTACAGAGCAATCTTTCCGATCGGGTGGTTGGGCTGCTGCTCTTGCTGATACTTACTCTCGCAAGGTTTAACCTTTTTTTTTTTTTTTTAAATTGCTATACATTTTTAAATCAGTTATTGTTTTATTTGTCTTTATATGCATAATTTACCTGTTCGATGTTGTAGGCTGATGTTTTGGTACGTGGTTATGGTGGGTACAATACCAGGTGGGCTTTATTCTTGTTGCATCACATTTTTCCTATGGTAATTTGTCCAGATCTTTAATAATTGTCGCATTTTATTTTCATTTCGTATTGGGTATATAATATTTTGTTTTTTGATTACATTCTTGATTGTTTTCAGATTTACAAGTTTTCTGATTCTAGTACGTGAGAGGAAATGGAATATATGTTCTAGCGGGGAAATTGTACAATTTGATTAAATAATTTGTGGTGTATATGGATCGTCATTTTTATTATAAAAATGTTTAATCCAATTGAAAATATAGATGTTTTAACTTTGTAATGCAAAATTGAGATTTCCTTCAGCGGTTTTATCAATGTAAAACATTTGATTTGTGTGTTTGTTTGATAATTTGGATCTTGGGGGAATAAATATAGAGTTAATGTTTTTGCTTTCCTGATTGTATGCATCTAATTGTACATAGGATGTAGTGATTAACTAAATACCTTTTTGAGAGTTTATTTTATGTTTTTAATACTATATTTGATGTATTAAATCGCAATGTTGGATCTTTTATGACTGATTGGCAGGGATCTGCAATGCCTCTTGTCGCTGCGACTATATTTTTTGGGGCTAATGATGCGGCTCTTTTGGGGAGAACTGGTGAAAGGCAACATGTGCCTGTTGAAGAATACAAGGAAAATCTAAGAAGAATTGTTCAACACTTAAAGGTTCGAATTTGTAAATTTTTTTGCTCAACATTCGTGTGTTACTTGGTCCAAAGTCGAAACAAAACCTTATCGCATAATCAGATTTCCTATTATATAGTGTACTGTTATTTTAATAAGTATAAAGCATTCTTTATGGTCTTCAAACACTTTCTTTTTTCTTTTTCCACATAATTTCTGTTCACTATTATGATAAATATAATAGTAGTAAAGCGGCTTCCTATACCAAAATTTGTTGACTTTATGATCTTGAGTTGAGTATTTCCATTTTGCCGTTATGTTGGATGTATAGTTGTATAATTCGTGCATTTTTATTTTGCAGTAGGTCTTCCTTTCTTTCCGATTTTTAGACATGTATATGATTTAAATTTTAATGGATCTTATTCTTCTCCCCTTTTCATGTTACCTGCTTTATGTTGTGCATATAAGGTCACATCCTTGATTACTATATACTTCAAGTCCTATGTTTGCATTTCTCCAAGCAACTCGTATCCAATTCAAATTTTTGTAAATTATGATTGCAGAATTGTTCCCCTACCGTGCTAGTTGTACTTATAACTCCACCTCCCATAGATGAGCATGGGCGCCTAGAATATGCACGGTATTAGTCTTTTTCTTTTAACACATGCTGCTCTTCATAAGTGTTAATGTAAGTAAAAAAATACATATCTTTGTAAGACTCAACTAAATCATTTGATGCAATTAGATGAGACTGGAGAAATAGGTTCACCTGTTTCTGTACTTGATCAATTTCAATATAAATGCCAACAGTTGAAGCTGTTCTTCATTCTCAATACTGGAATTTCTTCTTTACTTGTAGCTCTCATCTTTTCAAGGGTAATCAACTTTAAATGTAGACATTTAAGGGGGAAAAAAACAGTAATTTCTTTGCTAAGATTCATTTTCTCTTATGAAGAATTAGTTATGCATGGTTTTCTTTGAATTAAAAATCGAATATGGAACTTTTTTGAGAAAACTAATTTAATTTAGCATACGTGTTCCTTTCTTAAGGATTAAAGATACTTTCCTTTTTGAGTTGTGGACTAAGATGTAAAAGAGAGAGATTGCTCATGTTTATAAACACTCAAGTCATTTTTATACACTCACATTTTGACGGACTCACAAGTACTCTACCCATTTATTGATAACTCATTTCTATCTATTTATAATTTAGACTATTTATT